TGGTTATGAACAGCAGAGGACAGGTGAAGGGAACACCTTTACAAAAACTGATTCCATCTCTCCACCGCAGGATGGGTGGCAGCACTCGCACTAGGCAGTCCAACAACCAACCATTTTGGCGATATACCAACTTGAGCCAGGTCTGAAGAGACAAAGATGCAACCTCACATGCTGAACTACATAAATACATGCGGCCACATGACTTAGCAACTTCAGACACAAATGAATCCTAATAGAAGTGAGAGACTGGAGGGACAGTCCCAGACAACGAACTGTCTGAAATCACAGCTCAGCAGAAATGCCCCCAGATTCATAGAACCCTAAATGCGCTTGATTTTTTGTGCTGGTACTGAAGTTGATTTTGCTTTGTTTTCGATCAGACCCAGCCAATCGAAGAGACGCAGTCTGCACTGGACAGGGTTGAGGAGTTGATCTGTGGACTTGCCCCTCACTAACCAATCATCCAGGTAAGGAAAGACATGGCTTGGGAAAAACTGTCACATGGAAATAGGTGTTTTGAAGAACAAGGGCAGCAAACCGGTGATTGTGATTCAAAGCTGGGAGGAGGTAGCTAGCGTAACCATGGAGAATCTCATGTGACTGATGTATCTGTTGAGACTCTGGAGATTGAGAACAGGTCTCACGCCTCCCTTGGACTTGGGAATCAGGAAATACTGTGAGTGGAATCCTTCTCTCCCACCCCAGCCCACCAATGCTACAGGGGGTCTTCCTCTATAACCCCCAAAGCTCACTTAGTCTGGACCTGCTGGAGGAGCAGTGACTCGTGAAGGGGGTCCCTGAAAAGGGATGGGGGGGGGAAGGGAGAGTGGAAATTGGATGGCATAACTCGATCCCACAGTGCTTAGGACCATTTGGCTGAGGTTCTCACTTCCCAAGCACTGTGCAAGGGAGGAAGCCTGTCCCCGAATGGTGGGAAGTTCACAACTGGTGTCGATCAACCAGTCAAAATGGCTGCTTGCCCAAAGCTGGGGGAGGACAGACTGGCTGGTTAAAGTTAGACCCAGGAGGCCTTCTTCTGTGTGACTTACGCCCCTTCCTGGAGTAGTCCTGCTGCCTCGATGGGTAAGAGGTCTGCTGGAAGCTCCACTGGGGACGGTTCTGCTGCTGCCATTGCTGCCCCAGAAACTGGCACCTTTCTATGTCTGGGGTAAAACCCCCAATGAATGCAGAGTTGCTCCTGAGTCCTTAAATGAATGTAAAGTCTCATCCATTTTGTCAGAGGAAAAAAATAAAAATCAACCATTGCAAGGTAGGTCTTCTATTCGCTGCTGGACCTACAGTTGCTAATTTTGGCTGGACATATTCCTGGAAGTTTCATCACATGACATAATCTTTAATTAATGGTTAACCTTTAATTCCTGGAGACTCCAGGACAATCCTGGAGGGTTGGCAACTCCAGCCTGACCTCCAAAACCATGCCAGAGTGCTGCAAGCATGAGGCCCTTCTCAGGGTGATCGCTGAAGCCATGACTCTGGCAGTAGCATCTGTTGTGTCCGGTGCCGACTGCAAAGATGTCTTGGCGGCCAGACAACCGTATGCAATCAGCGCTCTGAACTCTTCCCTGGAGGGTTCAGGCTACTTGTCTGTGAGTTTGGCTATAGACCCCCAATTTCGCAAATTATATTTCAACAACAGCGCCTGCCGATTTGCAATGCCAACTTATAAGAATGAGGTTGAATAAATTCAGAGATCCAGCCTCTTCGAACTCTCTGTCCTTGGGCATGAGCTGAGGAAGCCACCTCTGTCTGAGTCAGCAATCTAGGTGACTGAAGAGGGAATACTGGGGTGGCCAGGAGACCTTGCCCTGGAGTGGGCTGACGATCGGGACTTCACAGATTGAGAAACAGTCCATAGATTCCAAGGCGGCCACTGAATATAGGGATATGGCATAAGTGAGCAGTAGGCACTGGGCCAAGTCCTTCGGTCCCTATTGCAGGAACAGTGCTGATGTTGGTACTGATCGTGATCCAATCTTTGAGAATGATGTCTTGGTGATGAGGGAGAGGGTGCCTCCGAACTTGCTCTCAATGAACCCCCCAAGTCATCTGAAGACAATGGGGGGATTCACCCCAGGTGCAGCAAACAAACATCCAGCATTGTCCGAAGATCAATAGGCTGGCTGCATCGTTACCAAAGCGGAGAGTGAAGCTGATGTCTTGAGGACAGGCAAGGGCACTGCACTCCCACTTGGTAGCAAACCAAGATGGTACTGCAGCCAGGGTTGGTACCGATCCCGTAGATGTGGTCTGCACTGTCATCATCGATGCTGAAGATAGCAGCTGAGCTAATGCGCTCCTCACTACCCATAAGGAGGCTGATCTCGACTGCCTACTCTGAGTCTTAGACAGTGCCAAAGACAGTGCTGTTGACTGAGACAAGTCTGCAATCAATTCAGGTAACACAGAGGACCACATAGAAGTACTCAGGGCAATAACTGGGGAGCAAGAACAGAGGGGCAAAAGAAGCCTGTTGCTGTCTGGGATACCAATGGCATGGAAATAGCTGGTGCCGATGTTGTTGGCAATGGACTCAATGGGCATCCCATGACTGGTACAGTGCTCAACTGATGCCGCCTCGGTACTGGAAAGCGAGTGGATGTCCCAGTTCCATCCCACATATCAGAAGAATCACAGTGATTGTCTGCGCTCCACCTGGAAGAGAAGGTTGAATCTCTCCAATCTCTGGAGTGGTTCTGCAGTCTGGAGGACATGAGGAAGGAGAATGAGCTCTCTTCCTCCTAGGGGAGGCATGAGAGTCTGGTCAAGGAACAATGGCTCGCTCTGGTTCCAAAGTTGTCTGAGAGGCTAAAGGATCCATGCGGATCTCCAGTGCCAAAGCGGGCCTCATGGCCGGCTCCATAAGGTGCTGCTTGAGATGCAAGTCCCTCACCACCTCTGTTCTTGAATGATTCGCAGATGAAGCACCTTTCTTTAATGTGCCCTTCTCCCAGGAGCATATGTGGGGGTCATTGCTGGGAACAGCCACCCCAAACAATGGACAATAGTTACACCTTGGTGAGGGGATATTTATTCTAACTCCTATAAACTAAAAACATAAGTAATGTTAAACTCACTTAATATATAGACTATATATACACATGCGTCAGACGCAGTGGGTATTCACCCACGAAAGCTTATGCTCTAATACGTCTGTTAGTCTATAAGGTGCCACAGGACTCTTTGTTGCTGTATATAGACAACAAAATCCAAGAGAGACTGAGATGGAAAAGTGGGAAGGAAATACCACACCAAGTGCTCTGACTCTACTCAGGAGTGGCGAGAAGGAACTGAGGGGGGGTTGGAGGAGCACTACCCTTAAATAGCCTGGGGAGGGGTTAAGAGACACAGGGCGTGGGTGCTGTCCCTAAGGGTACTACTAGGCAAAGTTCTCCAGCTTGGGTGTGCCAGGGACACACACACCTGAATGGAAAACATGTCTGCAACCCCTCAAAGAAAATTTTTTAAATCCCTTCTGAAATGACTTCTGCTACTTCCCAAAACTTTCCAGAAAAAGGCCCCAAGGGTGAGATTAAGGGGTGAAATATGAGGTGGATTCGTTTGGCTTTGATGAAATTGGGCAGAGAAAGACTGAAAAAAATTGGGTTCATAACAGAAAGTGAGCGTGCTTCAATCTTAACTATGGAAAGGCAAATGCCTCTTCAAACTGCTCCCTATGTCTGTGTAACAGAAGAGTTCCACGCGTTATAATACTGCTCTGGTACATGAGATTATTGCCACTAGACCTCTAAAAACTAGCACCACAACAACACACTTGGCACAACAAAGATGTTTTTCAAGGTCTACCAGAGCCATTTGATTATGAAGCAGTTATAATTTATAAAATCCCAAGAATCTGTGTATTTAATTTCCGAGCAACACTCCCATGATGGCTTTATTCTTTATAAGATCCCCAATTAAAAAACAAACATGTTTTCTCAGTCTTCAGCCCTAGAAATTAAGTATCATGTGGAACAATCCCATTAGAAGTCAAATGTTTGGAAAGAAGGACACGTAGGAATTGAGCAGCTCTTCAAAGGTCTGCACAGGATAAACAATTTGTGAGAGAAATTCTTCCAAACAATTTTCTCTTCAACTAAGTGTTCAGAGTCATCAACAAAGACGGCAACACATTTTATTTAATTCCATCAGAGACTCAGGAACCAACCAAGCCATTTGAATTATAATACACTAACTTCTATGGAGGTGTGTGTGATCTAATGGTCTGAGAATGCGCCTGAAAGCCAGAATTCTAAAGCTGGTTCTGATACTGTCTTGCTGCATAACCTTGGGCAAGTCACTTACCACCCCGTGCCTCTGTTTCCCCATCTGTAAAACAGGGGAAATAATTGTATCTCCCTCACAGGGGTACTGACAGAATTGTTTATTCGGTGCTTTCATCTACTTAGGAACTTCTGTGACCCCCATTCACCACAGTATCCAAACATGTAGCTGAGGCCAATGTCCTCAGATGAAAAGCACTATAGAAATACAAAATATAAATATGTTATCACGTCCACTCTTTATCCTGACATGTTGTTCACTGTAGGTAATTAATATTCAAATCAGTGGCTACAGGAAAATATTTTATTAATAAAAAGTGGTCAAAATTCTGAATGAAAAAATCCCAAGGGAAAACCGGAGATGATAAAAGGTAGTTACAATTTTTAAAATTCTGTTATTCGGACACTGTTACTGTCTTAATGACAATCAGGTGCTCTGTTTTCTGTGTCATGTGCCCTAGACATTTGGTAAAATCTGTCACTTATTTCAATCAAAAGGGTAGAGCTATTGAGTGAAGTGTTACTACTACTGTGCACTTCTACAGAGCCTTTCATTCACAATCTGCTACTATCTAGGTTGCAAAACTTCTCCCTGAAGAACACTCTCCCCCAGGGAAGGCCCACTGTCACAGGAAGCCAAATGCCATAGCTCTTTCAAGAACAACATGGAAGATCCTTCCCCCAACCGGGTGGAAATACCTGGCAGTGCAGTGATGAAGTCCCTCTGTAACATAGGTTTGAGGTACGAGTTTATATGTCCGTGCTGGTAATGACACATCTGGGAGATGAGATGTTCCACAAACTCCACCTGATCGGACTCAGACCACTGTTCAAAATACTTGACGCACAGCTCCTTCTCTTTCTCATAGCTTGCAGACAGCTTCCTTTGTTTGGGCACAATCATGCTGGAAGTGCCATTGGCAAGTTTTGTCTTGAAAGGAAAGAAGAAAACATGAAATAAAGCTTGGGACGCTAACATTCCATTACATACAAGTTGGCTGAGTCTGCATATCCCATTTGCTGCTGTCAGTCTGCAAGTGGCCACAGAAGCTTGTAACCTTGGAGGACAGTACAGTTCATGCTGGAGCTGCACACAAAGGACTAGGGTTAGATGGGAGAACAAGAGTGGCAGCTTAATACAAACACATTTTAGTTACAATTTACATACAATGCTGACAGATTCCTAATTTGCCATTATCAGCTACTTCAGTGCACCGCAGAAGACTGCATTTGTATTTTGTTTCTCTTCTAAAGTATTTGCTTTAGGGCTACAATGAACTGCTGCTAAAATTAATAGAAAATACATGAGATGGATAAGAAACTGCATGATGATCATTTTAATAATACACATAGTATACAGTAAAATCTGTTAAATCAACACCCCAACATCTGGTGCTCATCTGTACTTCATGCAAAGAATCAAATACTAAACTTTATAGTCACTGTTAATATTTCGCCAGAAGGTCTCAACATAGTCTGATTTTGAAGAAGGGCTCTCAGGGACAGGAGAAAACAGACTCTTCACTCTATAGCCTAAAATCAAGATGCATGGAAGTTTTGTTTTTAACGATTTAACTGGAAGAAAAGCACACGTATTGCCCCATGAGCACATCCCAAGCCAAATTAACTGTCAACTGGGAAATCTATGTTTTCCCATGCTGGTTACTAAATAGCTTTTATTAAATACTAAACTAAGGGAATGTCTATTTATTTTTAGGATTCTGCCCCAACTAAAAAAAAACAAACCCAGAATCTAAAGCTAAGTACAATGGTCATACATTTAACCAAGACAAATTTTAAAGGGACATTGTCAAGATATATCCATGTACCATGGAACTTTGATAAGTCTCTTTTTAGTAATCTGCAAACCTGATAATTCTTACTAAAAGCTGGTGTCTAGCCCTACGTCACAGCAAAGCTTTAATACCAGACGGCACTGTAATGACAGTTCACATTATTAGATCATTTCTTTTACAAAAACACTCTAGTCTACATTTGCTACTGCATTATGAATGATCAATTAAAACCAAACTGCACTTATCATAATAAATACAAGTTATATTTTGTGATGTAGTATTTCAGTTTCACTTAATGCACGCTGTGGTATAGCAAGTAACACAATTAATGATATTTTAGTCAATCTAAAAGAAAATAACCAGACTGTACACGCTCTACACGTAGTTCTCACCTAAGAGGAAGATATGTAGTACCTGTTTACTGGGAGGAAGGATCAATGGAAAGATGTTAAGTGATTTGCTAAAAGGCTATCGAAAGTGCCTGCCAAAGCTAGGACAAGAACTCAGTAATTCCTAGCTCCCAGGCTTGTACCCCAGATCACACCTCCCTGTCCACTTAAAATCCTTACCTGTGATACCCACACCTTGGATTACCAAAAGTGACAGAATGCTTTAAAATCTACTTAATTTTTCACCATTTGTTTCCTGTATATTTATACATAAGACACCAGACCTAAATATTGTGCCTAAATTACTTGCCAGTGTTTCTAACAGAGATGGCTGGATAGATTTTCTTACAAAACTGCTATGGTAAGTAGCAGCCATTTTAACAAAAAGTATATTCTGGCTCTGTATTATGGTTTGAATTAACTCTGATTTTCTGAGACCATAGTACGGTACATAGATATCAGACTGTACCATTTGCATCACGAGCAAGCTGGTCTGCAACACTCGTTTTGTTTCCTTTCTCATTCCCCTCAAAATGGAGCCGAGAGTCCTCAAACACTGGGGAATGTTTCTGGGAGCATTCAGTAAGGATCATCAAAGATGGCCAATAGCTGGTGGCAGAGTTGCAAACTAATGGCAGAGTATAAAATCCTTGTACTATGGTTTTATATTCACTCATCATGTAGATAATAGTGTCCCATAAATGGGATATTTGGAGGGAGGAGAAACACACACTCTTCTGGACTATCTGTTTATACAGAGAATGCTGACATCTCTGAGGCAACTGTGGGAATGAACTCCATGGCATGAAAGGTTGGATTCTTCCTGGCAATGGCATGGCATACAAAGATTAAGGATGGGCTGTATTGAACATCAGCCTTGAGGGACTCTGGCTGTTTTTACTGCAGTTTAGCTGTTTGCAAAACAGAAAAACCCATGAAATGCTGGAGATAGTTGACAAATGGTGTATTTTACAAGCCTGACCTCATTTCATTTCTCATTTCATTTGCTGCACAGCCAATCTTACAGCAGGCTATCTCAATAGAGCATGGTTTTTAAACCTGTACCTTCCGCCTTTTGTTTCCTCCTTTCAGTGAGGACAGTCACTATTTGCTAGAGCATTAAATGCCCTCTTCTCTGTTACAATCAAGAAGCCCCTCCAGAAGAGGCAGTGCTGTCAGATATACGGAGAATAAAATGAAGTTAAATATATTCATACAAATGTACCACCCAAAAGGTTTTCAGCCCAGAGCTTTCTACAGTTTGTTGGGACGAAGATGTATTACCTGCCTCATTATCAAAAGTAACCCCAAACAATTACTGCACGTTACCCAAAGAAGACGCATCTGTGTATGACATGAGAAAGTGCCCAAACTTAGCCCAAGAGGAGCAGATCACAGTCCTCCACTTTTTTCTTCTTCCCTCCCAGGTTCTAATGTGGAGGCACGATCCTGGAGACTACAGGTCTGTCTCATCTTACGCGGGGGTTCCGTTCCGCGGTTAGCGCATAAAGCGAAAACCGCGTATAGCCAAAACCCCATTGAGTTCAATGGCGGGCGAAATCGCCCGCACTACAGGTATAGTATTAAAACTGTTTTTCTCTTTTTTGTTTTTGTTTTGTTTTGGCCGACCGCGTAAAGTTGAAATCACGCATGTTAAATGCGCCTAAGATGCGACAGACCTGTATAGGTGCCACCATTCAGTGCTTAATTTTGATCTGAGCAGCCTGACATGCTGGGACCTGTAGCTTTTGTGAGTGGCACCTTTATACTTGCAGAGGTCTATTTCAGTGATACCATTTTTGAGATGGGGTGACCAGCACTGAACACAATACTCAAGATGGTGAAGGCATTCCATCAATTCTAGTCAGATATCCTGGCACTGAACAGATCGTTTTAGTGAGCTGTCCGTAACTACAAGCTCTTCTTCAGGCCTGAAGATGCTGTCAGACATTCAGGCCCAAAAAAGAGCTTTGTGGAGCTTAAAAGCTAGTCTCTTTCACCAACAGAAGTTGGTCCAATAAAAGATATTACCTCACCCACCTCATCTCTCTCATATCTTAGGACAAACATAGCTACAATAACACTGCAAACAACAATTACAAGGCCATTTTTCTGAGGTGACTACAATTAACAATTAACACTAAACTGGGAGGGGTGGTAGCTACGCTGGAGGGTAGGGACAGGATACAGAGTGACCTAGATAAGTTGGAGGATTGGGCCAAAAGAAACCTGATGAGGTTCAACAAGGACAAGTGCAGACTCCTGCACTTAGGACGGAAGAATCCCATGCACTGTTACAGACTAGGGACTGAATGGCTAGGCAGCAGTTCTGCAGAAAAGGACCTAGGGGTTACAGTGGACGAGAAGCTGGATATGAGTCAACAGTGTGCCCTTGTTGCCAAGAAGGCTAACGGCAATCTGGGCTGTATAAGTAGGGGCATTGCCAGCAGATCGAGGGACGTGATCGTTCCCCTCTATTCGACATTGG